ATTATCATTGCCACGGCTTTAGAGGAATCAGAAGAATGGACACTTCAGAACAAGCTTCTTACCCAGGAGTCTACTTTGGAAACACGAACGTTAACAACTAAGGAATGGAGGTGGCGTAAACCAGCTGCTGGCATGCTGAAATGCAACATAAACTCTTCTTGGGTCAGAGATTCATGTCACAGCGGTGGAGCTTGGATTTTAAGGGATCATACTGGTAATGTTTTATTTCATGCCCGTGATGCTTTCCTACCAACGATAAACAGATTGGCTACAGAACTACAATGCGTTTTATGGTGTCTACGAAGTCTACATGACTTACATTTTGACTCGTGTGAGATTTGGCTAGACTGCAATGCGGCGGTAGCAGCGTTACAGAAACCGTGTGAGTGGCCTAAGTACCGTTCTCAATTGGACAAAATTGCTCAAGTAATACGGGTGATGGGGGAGGTGAGTTTTAACCTCTCTTCACCGAAAGCTAATTCTTTAGCTAGGGATATTTCTTGTAGTGTAACAAAGGAAGGACGGTTTCATTCTTTTCTCGCTCTTGGAGGCCCATCGTGGCTTCATGACAGGATCGCGCAAGAAGGTGCATTGACAGGTTGAGTCCGTGCTCTGTTTTTCTCATGGCTCTGTTTTTTAGCGTTCTTGTACCCTGTTTTATTTTGCTTGTATTTTTGGACCACTATTTCCATTTTATTATATTGATTCGTTGAGACAAAAAAAAAATAATAATACATTTTTTAACGTTTTCTGAACATGTAATAAACCGTATAATGGATTTTCTGAATTAAATTAGAACATGAAAGAAAGCATAGAAGACATGTTCTACGGATTTTAGGAAATTGTATTCCGGTCTTCTGAATGTTAGAACGTATATCTAATCTAAAATTCGTAGAACAAGTACAAAGTTTAGAATACAAAATCTGATTTTCGTAGAATATGTACAAAAGTTTAGAATATAAACTCTGATATTCGTAGAACACTAGAAAACGTATTCTAATAATATTAGACAAATTTTATCCAAAAAAAAATCAACTTTTTCAACTAAATCACCAATTTTTTTTTACAAAACATCTATAATATATTTACATGTTTTTTGGTAAAATCATTCAAAAAATGCTTAAAAGAGAGAGTAGAAATATTTTAGTCTAAAGTGACATTCTTAAAAAAAAAAAGTGTATATGATCAAACTTTTGTTTAGACCTCTTTTATTTCTAATTTTCCCATAAATCAAATATTATTTATCGAACCGAAAGTAATCATCAAACTTCCACCTCTACTTTCATATCTATTTTCATATCTATTTTGTTTGTTTTTTATAGATTTATAAAATATTAGACTGTTGATTTTTTTTTTCAACAAAATGTTGGCTTTAACAAAAATAAATATTAAAAAAAAAAGAATTTTGGTTTTTCTTTGTTTAGGATTTTTAAATATAATATTGTTTGTGGAAGATGGAAGGATTGTAATATTCTTCAAATAGACAATTTGCGATCTTACCAAAAAAAAAATAGACAATTTGCGAAGTTGTAATACTTTGTCCATATTCCAAAGGAATAGTTTGACTCTTAGAAAATACTATTGTGAGTTTCCTTTGGGGACCACCATATTAAGCAGTGAAACAACAAGAAAAGTATCATATAAACAAAATACCAAATTATTGAAAGAATTTCATCTATATCCTTCTTTTTATTTTTATTTTGTCGTACACTGGATTATTAATAGATATTACGTAGGGATCCGGAATGCTAATTACCCAATGCCATTCACAGTAAACTACCAATGTTAAAAAAATTGGTCTATTCGACCATTAGGCTTGTCTAGACGTTCATAAATTTTTAAACGCCTATAATTTTAGTAAAATTGGTGGATCAAATCGGTTTATCGGTTTAGACATTCAAAATTAGTATTAATCGATCAAATTAGTCAAATCAACCGGTTTAATACATGATATTTTTCTCTAATATAGCATTATTTTGAATAAGTAAAAAAAACAAACAAAAAAAAAAAGTATTCTTGATTACTAAACTTGTAAATTATGAATTAATTATTCTCATTTTTTTTAGTTAATGAGACTAATGTATTTTAGTTTTCATATAAATTAGATATGAATATATATTATATATTCCAATAGGTAATATTTTTAATATTTCATATTTTATAACCAATGTTTGTTGTAAAATTATGAAAAATAATTTAAAACATAAGTAAATAATGCGCTAATGCCTAGGCCTCGTCTAGGCTCCGATTAATCGATCTATCACCTAACGAGTTTTTAATCATTGGTAACTAGTAACTACTCTTTAGTAGAGATATGAAGGAAGCTCTAACTCAAGCTTAACATACATACTTCCTACAAATGACTACCAATCATGTAAAGTTACTCTTGACGAAATCGATGAACCGTGGTAAGGTTACAAGATATGGTTTTTCACTTGTTATCAACATTGTAAAGTATGAGTTACTAACCGTGGTAAGGACATTGAATACGCCCCTCATTCACATAGGTGTCTACAATGCATAGGTGTCGTACTCGCTCCGACGCTTAACTATACCACCGCCTATAAAATTATCATCGTCGGTATCATTATCCATCACCACCAGTATCATCATCACCACCACTACCTGTAAATCACCGAAACTACCACCACTATCTCAACTATGATCACCGCCTCTAAAATTATCACCGTCGGTATCATCATCACCCATTACCACCGGTATCATCATCACCACTACCACCTGTAAATCACCAAAATTACCACCGTTTTAGTTTTAGCTTTCACATAATCGAAAACACACAAAAGTTTAATTTTGTTGTGTCAATTTCATCGTGAAAAATAAGAAAGATGAAAAAGAAAAAGAAAGAATTAAGAGATAAGAAATTTAATTATAGTCAAGGATAGTGTTGTATTTTCCATATGCACAATAACTATCAAATAGTGCGAAAGAGAACTAATTATTCAATCTTCTATGGTCATTCGGTATAGATATTCTAAATACAACCAACTAACATAACAACTTCATGCAACATGTATTATGACACTTTCTCGTCTTACTACACATTCGATCATCTAGCAACCTAACTAAAACGTTTAGTTTAGGGATTATTGTTGATTTTGCCCTTTTTTATCAAAATCTTTTGAAAATGCCATTTTCATTAAAATCTAACGGATTTGCCATTTTCTTACACTTAAAAATGAACGTTTTTAGTATTCTTTTTTGGCAAAAATACGTATTTTATACTTCATACTAAACCCTAAGAACAAATGAAACCAACTAAACCCAAACATAACGGATAAAACGCATGTTAAATCACATTTTTATAGCTTGAAAAATGGTGAAATCCACAAACTATTCAAAAAAGGGCGAAATCCACAAATGTCATTAAAAAAATGGCAAATCTATAATTGATTCTTTAGTTTATCAATGGAAGAATAGATATATTTTACTGACATATTCAGTAGATTTGTTGTTAAGCTGCTTGACAAGTTATTTTCTGAAATTCTTAATTTATTATTCGACTTCACCTAACCCAAGATCATCATACTCCTAGTACTTAGACTTTTGTTCTTAGTAGAAGAATGCTAGTCATCTTTCTCATTATTTAAGGAAAAGACTATTCTTTTTTTTTGTCGCAAGTGTGTTTTTATTCATACTGCAAGCCAAAGTAACAGGCCAAATATAAAACATACAGACCAAACTAAATAGACCAAGAAAACAAGGTAAAGGCCCAAAAGCCCAGTTTAATAGCTTTAGTCTGAAGAAAAAAACTGTTGTTGACAGCACAAAGGACACGTGGCAACTGGAAAACATGTTGGGTGACACGTGAGAAGTCGAAGGAGATGGAGTTTACGTCACCGGCAGAATCTTCTAACGCCGGAGAGCTTCAATTCTGGTCGAAATCGCCAGAAACCTAGTGTAGTCGGTAGATCCCAATCTTCGCCCAAAGAAACTATGGCGAAATTTCAATTTAGCTTGATGAGAATGACTCCACTTAATTCAAATTGGTTAATCTTCTTCATCTTCTTCTTCAAAAAACAGCTTTTCAATCTTCAAGCTGCAGTTCATCAAACCGGTCCAAAAGCTAGCCTATAACCGCCGAAGAGATAAGCAGTGATACAACTACAAACAAAGCCAGCCATCAGCGCTATATAAGTCGCTCGATGCCGGAGACCAGAGCCGAAACAAAGCCGGACGAAGATGCTAGTGAAGCCATCTACGCCGGAAGCAAAGCCAGCCTACACCACTGAGAAAGCTAGTGCAGCCAGACAAGAAACCCGCCTCAAGCGGGGCCAAAGTCACCGGAAAAGAATTGCCGGCAACATATGAACGGAAAAACTTCTCTCTCTGAAAGATGAAAGGGAGAGAGAAGAGAGAGAAGAAGCCTCCGCCGATTTTTAAGGAAAAGACTATTCACTAAAGAAAAATTTGGTTTCTATCTTTTCCTTTGATTGGTCACATTTAAGTAATTTTGCTGAATTGAAACTACCGTAATTTAAATGTTATATTATGTCCGTACCATTTCAGAAATATGAGGTATCAAAGATCAAGAAATGCGTTATTTGTTATTTGGGGTTTTATTCGAGATAAATCTCCAAATAACAAAATGACATCGTTTTGTTTTTTTTGTTTGACGAGAGTCCACCTGTGTCAAAATACAAATTTTTTAAATGCTCACATATCGTCCTTGTCAGCATCCGTTAATGGCACAGTAACACTAATTGACGATTTGAGGCTCTCACCTGGATTGATATAGTTTGTGTTATAAATTCAAATTAAATATAAGTTCATGAGATTTTAATCACCGAAGAAAGTTTTGAATATGGAAGCGATAAAACAACATAGTTCAGGGGAACCTAAGATATCCCAATGAGACGTTCTAATTGAAATAATAAAAAAAAAACACATAGAAACATATATATATATATAACAATAAAATAAAGGGAAGTGTTACAATTAAGAAAAAAGGTTTGAAAACTCTAGAACAATAAGTTATTGTCAATAACAAAGGGAATATAAAAAACTTTTGGTCTTACCTCAACTAGAAACCACTAGAACAAGAACAAAGGCATCATCACATTTACATTAAAAAAAACTATAATATACCATGTCCTCAACTAAAGTCTAACTCGATACGAAATCTTAAACCGAGAAACCCTTAACAGGAGGATTACGAAGTGATAAAAAAAAATGTTCTTCTTCTTCGTCGGTGGAGTTGGACAACAAGTGAGACAAGTCCTAAAATCCGGCGCCGGAACTTGCATAAGATGCGGCTCTGAAGCCGATTTAGTCGATTACGACAAAGTCTTGAAGCTCTTCTTTATTCCTGTCTGGAGATGGCCTGGAAAAGATCCTCTACTTCATTGTAGAGACTGTGATCTGTTTTTCCCTCAGTCTCTGTCACCGCCACCAGTTTCTCTTGCTACGTGTCGGTTCTGTGATCGTGTAGTTGAGCCTGAGTTTCGTTTTTGCCCTTTTTGTGGCTCTTCTCTGTGAGTTTTGGTCTGTCCAAAAAGTTGTGATCTCTTTTTTTCTGAAGATGACTATGAGTTGTGTTCTGTCCTAAAAAAATCATAATCACTATTTATGTTTTTTTTAATCATTCATGTAAATTTCTGTCTTTCAAATTTACAATTTTAGATTACTTATTCTGAGACACCCAAATCATTCAGATACAGAATGTGAAATTGAGATATATAAAGCGATAGTAATATACATTATGGGGAAATGTATTAAGCCAATATTTTTTACCTTGATTCCATCTTTCCTTCCGGAGTTCCTACTAGAACTGGTTATTTCCTAGTAATGCGATAGTAGTAAGAATTGGTTATTTCCTACCAGAGTTCGAATCCAACTAAGTTACGTTATCCCGCTTAGTAAAAATTGGTTATTTCCTACCAGAGTTCGAATCCAACTAAGTTACGTTATCCCGCTTAGTAAGAATTGGCTTTAGATCGGACTTTGTCGATCCAAATAATGTAAAAAAAAAAAAAAACTTGGATAGTATGGCAAAATTTGTCTCTAAAATTCTTTAGTTAATCAAACGCTATGTGAAAACAAGACCTCACTACCAATTCTAAGGAAATTTTAGCTTTATTTGCAGAAGAAACCAATCAAATGATTGGTTCTTAGAAGACATCAATTTAGTGGGGAAAACTGATATTCAATTTCTCATAGAAAGTGAACTGTACACAGGGAAAAATGAATAACAATATATCTCCTTTTGATTTACAGTGGATGTTGTCTTTTATCTACGCAAAAGTTCTCTGTTTCATCGTTTTCTAGATGAATCCACAAACTCCAGATTGTTACTCGGCAAAGCTCTTCTGCGGTGAGAATGAACCAGATAATAACCTACACTTTTCTGAGGTTGCTGGTGAATAAGGGGAGCTGCAAAAACTTCCACGTCGCTGAAACATTAGATTTCTTCAATAACAGTTAGCCGGAGAAGGGTAGTTTATCATCGCCACGATCTACCGCGTTTCTCCATAGTCTATACCGAACTCCGAGCTTGTCATAAGCAACCGGTAAATTCCATATGTTTGCACCATTCAACATCCGTTCTTGTTGCCCTAAAACTAGCCGCAGATCTTCGTTTAAGACCTGGAAACAAAGAAAAACGATAAATCAGATACAAGACTGCGATGATGGCATCAAGATGTACGATTTATTTGTGCTTTACTTACCTGTTCAGCGAAATGTCTCCAGAGATGTTCCATGAATGGAAGATTCTTCAATATAGGAGCAAAGTCTAGTGACATTCGGTATAGAAGTCTTGTCTTGTTTTTTGAAGAAGGTAAACAGACATGGAGTTGATGAAGATGTGTTGCACACTGCTTTGTGCTTTTTCCTTCTAGTTTCCCGGGTTTCGAGATCCCGATTGTCGATAAAACAATACAAGGAGGTTTGAATTCCATATCGATTGGATACGGATCCCAGTATCCTTGGAGACCTGAGGATGGTGTTAAGAACTTCACCAAGCTGCAAGAGCATAGATAAATAAAAGCTTATAACGAGTACAAGTAAACAGATTCATCTTAACACTGAAGAGAGTAATGAGAGTAAAACAAACCTTGGGACACTCCATCCTTTTGCAAAAGTGGATGTATGAGTGAATGGGGCATGAGCAAGATCCAAGAGATTATCTAGAAGTAAACCATGTTCCACCGGGAGATCCATTACAAGCTGAGAGTTTATACGAGAACAAATGAGAAAATGCTGCATCCATATGGGATGATTGGATTGGAGATATGCTTGAAATGTAAGAATTACCTCGGCATGGATTAAAAACCCTGATGGAGGCTGTAAACATGGTAGTGTAGGTGCAGGTGGCTCATCGCCGGGCCAGATCCAGATCATACCTTCTTGTTCAAGACAAGGCAACGACTTTATCTTCACCTTTAGTAACTTTGTAGACGGCATCTTCTTACATTCTCCATCGGTTGAGTATTCCCATCCTACAAAGGTCACATTTAATAAGATACAAGATATGTTTTTCTTACTTGTTATCAACATTGTAGAGTATGAGTTCCTAACCGTGGTAAGGACATTGAATACGCCCCTCGTTCACGGTGCCAAGATCAAGAGGACACGCTCTATGCGCACACGTATTCCGTACACATCCTGGTTTCCCGTCTTCACCCCTAAAGATAACCCATGGTTGTTCAAAGCATTCAATTGGTACCTTAAGACGAAAACAATAGCATTTCTCAGAAACTTGTAAATAAAGGAAGACGCCCAAATCAAGCAAGAACCACAATACATACCATTGTGTCATGCTTAAGATCTGCAGTGAAAGCAACGGGATACCAAAAATTCTTTAAATGTGGACTATAAGGCGGAACCGGACCAGAAACATTCAAGCTTTTCGCACCAGTGTTTGTCTTTTCCCTATCTAACTCGACAGCAGAAGCAGTGGCTGAAGTGGAGGGTTTATCTAATTCCGCTACAACTCTGCCAGGTAACAACCTATCATTAACCAATTCTTCCATGTGAGCTAGCTTGTCTAAAGCAGTTGAAACCCGTGCTTCAGATATATGAACCTGTTTCATTTCGACTACGAGTTAGAAGAAGTTTGCTAAAAAGGCTAATCATTTTCAGTGAATAGCATTATTAACAACCTGTTGGTGTGCTTTCGATAATTCTTCCTGCAATCCAGCCAGTTCTTTCTTCACGGTACCGATCGACTTGTACTCACGAGCTAGAGGATTAAGTACATCAACAACCTAACATAAATTCAATCAAAACTTAACATCAAAACACAACCAACACTAAACATAAACCATTAATGATTCATCGTAGAGACGCCAATATCGAAAATACTGCTACAAAAACATATATTTGAAGACATGTCAGTACCTGAAACTGATTGTCCCAATATAATCTAAGCTTTAAAGAAATTGAGCTACTCTACGTCTACTATATCAGGCCTAGGACTAAATGTAGCAGATTATAGCTCTGTTCTTATCATTAACACAACTTTACCAACTAGATAGACTTAAACAAGCTCAAAAGAGGACAATGTAGAGCAAGAAACAAACCTTGTCATGAAGAATCATGATTGTAAGAAGATCTTGGCGAGCACGCCAATCCAAGTATTGAATATCAAATCTAGCAACTTCAATAGCTTGATTAACATCTAAAAACTTTCCTTTATAAGGAGGAGCTTTTGATCTAGGATCCTCCACATCAAACAAAGGTCTCCATTGACTCTTCTTCTCAAGTAAACCACTCTCATCACCAAATACAGCAAATATCCTGAATTCTCCTTTCACTCCCTGTAACCAAACACAATCACTCAATCATTTAAAAATCAAACCTTTTCTCAAACATTACAAAACCCATCTCGCAAAAACGTAACTTGACACTGATTTTCACAATTCCAACTCTGTTTTCACAAGTTTGCAGATAATTCAAAGTAAAAAATGATTGAAGCCAAAGTGGAGAAGAAGAGTAAAGTTACCTTCTTTCTCGAGAGATAAGATGATCTTGTTTTAGAGAAAGAGATAGGAAGAGATAAAGCAGAAGCACTAAACACGGCGGCGTTCATGGCGTCACCGGAAAAAAGAAAGAAGAAAAATAGAAAACGGATTTTAGAAGAAAGTTTGAGATTTTATCTTTTATTTAATTGAGATTTTTTTTGTTGATAAGAGAAGAGATTTTGCCCGCGATCTGAGAAAGCCTTCGGGAAGATGACACGTGTAGAGGAATTTGAACACGTGGCAGTACTGTCATCCACATGATGGTGAAGAGGGATTTGCCAGGTCGGATTCTCTAAGATAGCTTTGCTTTTGTGAATTTTCTTGTAATGTTTTGTCATTTTCCTGCTTTGGTTTTCCATCACTAGTTTTTTTGTTTGTTTGTTTGTTTAATGTAATGTTTTGTCATAATATATGTATGTTTTTTTGTTGGCTCTCAAACTATACCTAAATTAATTGTCTATTAGGGATAAAAATACAGTATATGAACGAAAAATGTCATTTAATCGTCTAACATTCAAAAAATGACCATTATATACAGGAATTTCATAGTAGGTTATTTTAAACATCAACTAAACGTTGACTACTGTATTAAACATGAGACTGCGTTGACCTGGCTAATATAGACATGACGTTAAAATCCGATAACAGAGCCACTAACAGTCGTTATCAGCCGTTAACAATTCTGTTAGTCAAATTGCCAACTTTTAAAAATTTAGGCCATTTTAAACATGAACTTCGTATAAGACCATTTTAATTATCAACTAAACGTTGACCCGGCCAAAAAAGACATGACGTTAAAATCTGCGAACATAACCACTAACAACTGTTATCAATCGTTGACGAACAACAAAACTAAGACAAAAAAACATAATACAAAGATTCAAAACACAAACCAAACAAGAAAGACACTAATAACCAAAAATGAAAAATTTGTTCTTGGTTACTAGTGTGCAGACGAATGGTGAGATCAAGAGAGGTGAACGTAAAACATTAGACAATGATAAGAAGATTAGATCAAGAGGGATGAACGTAAGACATTAGACAATGGGGTTAATATCCCCATTTTGTTCCATATTTCCATTTGCATACATATGTTATGTACTTTCATCATGCTTCTCTTCAAATTAAGTATTCATCTATTCTTTTCTCTCATTTGTTTATCATTGTCTAATGTCTTTCGTTCACCTCTCTTGATCTTACCATTCGTCTACACACTAATATCCAAGAACAAATTTCTCATTTTTGGTTACTAGTATGTCTTTGGCGTTTGGTTTGTACCTTGGTTCTTTGTATTGTATTTTTTTTTCCCTTAGTTTTGTTGTTTGTTAACGATAGATAACAGTTGTTATTGGTTATGTTAACAATTTTTAACACTATGTCTTTTTTGGCCGGGTCAACGTTTAGTTGATGATTAAAATGGCCTCATACGAAGTTCATGTTTAAAATGGCCTAAATTTGAAAGTTGACGATTTGACTAACAGAATAGTTAACGGCTGATAACGGCTGTTAGTGGTTCCGTTATCGAACTTTAACGTCATGTCTATATTGGCCAGGTCAACGCACTCTCATGTTTAATACGGCAGTCAACGTTTAGTTGATGTTTAAAATGGCCTACTATGAAGTTCATGTAGAAAATGACTATTTTTTGAAAGTTGAACGATTAAATG